TATTTATTTCTTTTTGTTTTTTTTTTTTCCTTAGAATATAGGCTGTTTTTTTTATTAGAAAATATATATTCCCAGCACACCATTTTGATGTATTTACATATCTAGCAAGTAAAAGTTCATATTTACATATATAGCATTTTTGTGCTTTGAATTAACACATGAGAATGGGATTTCAATTTTAAAATGCTATTTTTTTATATGATGTCGAAGATTTGAGTGTTGTATCTGTAAATATGACAATTTGAGTGTGAGATATGTAAATACGTAAGAATTGCATGGGGGAAGGGGAGGTCGGTTCTCATGCGAAAATTTTTTTTGTCATCGTTTCAAAATGTGCTTTCCGTGCCACAACAATCAAACTCCCTAGAAGGGGAACGCGGTCCATGTATAAGACTTCATGTATCCGAGAGAAAAGCCGTCCCAAATGTATCCTTAGTTATTTTATCATTTTATGAGTAGAGAGGGTGAATTTAACTCTTAAAAGTAAAAGTTGTTATCCTTGCTTAAGGCAATAAGTCAATATTTTTTTTCTATTAGCTATCAAATATGTATTTTAAAGTTGTGTTAAATTGAAACAATTTTATTTGTAGAATTTTGATTTACATGGTTAGATATTAAGGGTTTGTTTGGGGCAGCTGCAGCTGCGCTGCCCCAGGAAGTTGTTGCGGAGAAGCTGACTGTCTGTTTGTTGTAGCTGTGTGAAAACAGCTGTAGGGTAGTTGTTTCTAAAAAAATGACTCTTCCGCCCCTGTTTAGTGAAACTGTTTAAAATAAAACTGTGACAACTATATGATACTTAAAAAACATAAATTTATTTCGAAATATATCAAAAGTTCAAATACAACAATCACTGAGCAGTGAGTACCAAATGTGTTAAGAAAAAGAAAAAAAAAACATATAAAATTACTAGTAGAATAATGCCACAGTAAGACACCAACAACGAAAATGTCACAACAACGAACCCAAGCAAATAAAAGTTTTGAACAAAATGTAAGGAAAGTAACTACCAAATATATTATACCACATTAAAATACCCCTGTTTTAATTTTTAAAAAGTGAAATACATATTTCCATGCATAGTTAAGGTAGCACATATCTTACATGTTAAATATGTAAATACATCAGAATTGCGTGGTATTTATGTAAATAAGTCACAAAACATGATAAAGACAACAGCTTGGCGCAGTAAGAGCTGCAATGTTATGCCATGTCATGTGAGGATTTTAGGTATTTAGCTAGCAAACTTTTATAAATAACAAAACCAAGAATTGGGTGGTATGTATGTAATCTTTTATTTTAATATTGTACCATTTGAAAGACTTTTTAATGAAAGGGGCATTTACATGGATAACACACAATTCTCATGTATTTACATATCCCACGCCTAAGCTTTCTTATTTACACACATAGCACTCAAATCTTTAATTTGACAACAAATATAGCACTACTACAACTTTATAAAAACACCTTCTCATGCATAGGTTTAATGCATTAAAGTGCTATGCATGTAAATATGAAAGTTTAGGTGTGTGAAATGTAAATTTCCCTTTAATGAAACATTAAACTAAACAGTCCCTCAATCTCAGCATTCCATAACAAACTGAAGTCTTTCAACCAAATTCTATGAAGAAAATAAATTGTTGAAGGAAACAAATCTTTTGGCTATGAAGAACAATCCCTACCCTGAAAATATAAGCATGCATTCAATAAAAAATGATCTTTCCCCCCCCTCCCAACTTCTCAAAACCCTAAATCCTAGGAACAAATGTGTCAAGGCGGAGGAAAAACCCTCACCTGTGGACTGAGTGAACCGCGACAGTATGGTTGAATGTAGGGGTGTAAACGAACCGAACACAAACGAGCAGAGCTTGTGTTCGTGTTCGGTTCGTTTGAAATTTAGTTTGTTTGAAATAAGCTCTTGTTCGAAATTGTTCGTGAAGTCATTGTTCGTGTTTGTTTATTAACGAACGAGCCGAACACGAGCTGTTCGCGAACGACAAGCTAGTATGACATCCCTAATATTAATATATATAAATAACATATTATATTAATTATATAACTTATATTATATAAATATTTAATATCTATATTAGTATATTACTAATATAGTATATCAATACATTATTATTATTAATTTATTATATATTACAATTTATAAAATTTAATTTTTTAAAATATCTCAAATTTTTTATATATAACTATTTGAAATTATTTTATATTTCGAACAATAACGATTCCACGAACTGTTCGCGAACAACGAGTTTTTTTGACAGCCCTAGTTGAATGCATCATTCTCTCTAACTG